CTGGCCAGAACTAGTTTCATGACTGTGAACCAACCAAGAGGAAACATCAAGAGCCAAGGAGCTGTCAAGGTTTATGGCAAATCTGCAAATCAGGAGGAATGTGAGTCAAAGCTATATACAGCAGCCACGATTTTATCAACTGGATCTGAAGGTAACAAAAAACCCAACTCTTGTATATTCTGTGATAGCAAGTCGCACCCAAGTAAGGATTGTTTGAAAGCTCGAGCACTTTCTCACAGTCAAAGAATAGATATTGTCACAAAAAAGAACGCGTGTTTCGCGTGTCTGAAGCAAAATCACAGTATAAAAAGGTGCAAGACATTTGTGAAATGTATTATATGCGAAAAAAGACATTATCCTATACTTTGTGCTGACTTGTCTACTACAAAGAAAACTGAGAAGCAGAATATAGAGTGCAAGCAAGAAACTAGTTTAGTGAGCAATAATAGTAAAGGCACTTTTTTACAAACTGTTGCCGTCAGAATTAAAGGAAAACATGGTTTCAAAGTTATTAGAGCATTATTGGATTCTGCCTCTCAAAGATCTTACATATTATCAGATTTTGCTAAAAGTATGAATTTCAAGAAGGTGCGTGATGAAATAATATCACAAGGTGTCTTTGGAGGGGTACAATTATCTCCAAAAGTACATGCCCTATATGATCTACAAATCCAAAGTTTGAATGATTCATTTCAATGTAATGTGAGAGCTCTTGAACAGCCTAAAATATGTAATTATTCACTGCGACTTGAAAATCTAGACATGATAAAAGAACTTAGAGCTAAGAATATAATCATCTCGGATAGCGAAGTTGAATCTGATGAAATTAGTTTACTTCTTGGTGCAGATATTTATGGGAAGTTAATAACTGGAAGAATTGAACGATTTGAAAATGATATAGTTGCTATTGAAACTCAGTTAGGTTGGACACTAGTGGGTTCATGTCAGAAGAGTACTACACTTGACACTCTTTGTTGTTTCAATAACAATTGCATATCAGATTTATGGAGTTTAGATGTACTCGGTATAAAAGATCCAATTGGGGTTAAGAGTAGGGATATCATTGAGGCAGAAACTGTTAAACGTTTTAATGAAACCATCACTGTAAATGAAGAAGGTCGGTACGAAGTAGGACTTCCTTGGATAGATTATAGTACAAAACTTCTGAGCAACAGAGAGTTAGCAGAAACTAGGCTTTTAGCCACAACTAAGAAGTTACAGACCTTAAATAAGTATCTTGATTACAATTTGGTTTTCAAAGAGTGGGAAGATTCAGGTATTATTGAGGAAGTTTCCGACGAGGCCGAGACATCTGATGTGGAACATTATATACCACACCATGCTGTTATTAAAGAATGCCATGCTACTACAAAAATTCGTCCAGTCTTCGATGCCTCGGCGAAAGATAAGAACAGAAACTCACTCAATAATTGTTTAGAGAAAGGTCCAAATTTTATCGAATTAATACCCAACATTCTCCTAAAATTCAGGATGGGATCGATTGGTGTAATTTCTGACATAAAGAAGGCATTTTTACAAATCAGTATATCACCGCAAGATAGAGATTTGCTGAGATTTCTTTGGTGGGAAAATGTTACTGAGAAGAAAATCAAAATTTATAGACATGCCAGAGTAGTTTTTGGTGTATCATCTAGTCCTTTTCTACTAGCAGCAACCATCGCATATCATTTAGATAGAGTTCCAGAAATATTTGAACAGACTGCTAAAAAGCTTAGTCATTCATTTTATGTTGACAACTGTGTGACAAGCGTCGATAATAGGTTCGAATTGGAAAAATTCATAAATGAGTCTAAAGCCATTATGAGCTCCGCAAAGTTTGATTTGAGAGGTTGGATATACAACTCAAATAAGATGTTTGAAGAGGAAAAAAGTGAAATGCCTACTGATAGTAAGGTTGTTTCTGTATTAGGCTTACATTGGAATTTTGAACAAGATACATTATTCTGTGATTTGCATGCTCTTAATGATTTAGAAAACATTCCACATTCTAAGCGAGGTTTATTATCAGCGGCTCAACGTGTTTTCGATCCCATTGGATTCACATGCCCTGTAACTCTAATGCCAAAATTGTTATTGCAAGAAACGTGGAAAATGAAGATTAGTTGGGACGCTGAATTGCCAGAAGAAATAAATACCAAATTCACTAATTGGTTAAGTCAGATCCATCTTCTCAAGCTGTGTAATATTCCTCGAACGTTTTGTAAAACTAAAAGTCTTGCTCAGTGTGAAAATGCCTCATTACATGTTTTCTGTGATGCAAGTAAATTGGCGTATGCAGCATGTATTTTCTTGAGGATTGAGGAGAACGGAATTGTTAGTTCACATCTACTGCTAGCAAAGTCCAGAATAGCTCCACTGAAAACTAGTACTATACCTCGCCTGGAATTATTAGCGGCACTTATAGGTTGTAGGTTATATCAATCAGTGAAGATGATAGGCAGTTTAGGAGATTATGAATCTTATTTTTGGAGTGATTCTAAAGTAGTCCTGACATGGATCAAAACTAAATCAAAGTGGGAAACTTTTGTGATGAATAGAGTCAATGAAATTCGTGCTTGTACAGATATTCATAGATGGAATCATGTATTAGGATGTATGAATGCTGCAGACCTTCCTTCGCGTGGATGTAGTTCAAAGAACTTGTTTGAAGCTCAATGGTGGAAGGGACCCCTATGGTTACAAAATGATTCGAGTTTTTGGCCCACTACAACTGACGTATATTTAGATGAAGAAGCTTTTTCAGCATTATCAAAGAATCAAGATTCCAGTTTATTATGTGAAATCAATATGTCATTGTCTTCATCAGATTTTCTTTATTTTTCTCAGTACTCCAAGTTAGTTCGCATGATTGCATGGATTTTTCGTTTCTATGAAAGAACTCATGACAAAATCATTAATATCGAGTCAGAACTAACATACAAAGAGTATGAGCATGCAGAGAAAGTACTGATCAAGATTATACAGAGTGAGAGTAAGAATATTACTCATTCTCTTAACTTGCAGCTATTAGTTGATGTGGATGGTTTGTTGAGAGTGAAAACGAGGCTTGTATTGGGTGAAGATGATGAAACATTCAAGTATCCAATTTTACTGCCTTACAATCATGTGATAGTGAAAAGATTGATATTTGAACAGCATAAAATGTCTTGCCATAGTGGAGTTCAAACTCTCATGGGAATTTTGAGGGAGAGATTTTGGATAGTGAAAGCAAGGAAGATGGTTAAATCAGTTATCTCTAAATGCTTGATTTGTAAAAGATTCAAGTCGAAGGCATTGCAAACTCCTTTTGCTCCTTTACCTAAAGACCGCATAAAAAGTGCTTCGGTTTTTGAAGTAACTGGAATAGATTTAGCCGGACCATTATATTTGAAAAGTGGAGAGAAGATATGGATAGTGATTTATACGTGTGCAATATACAGAGCATGCCATTTTGAAGTAGTGAAATCGCTTTCCACCGAAGCTTTCATTCTTGCTTTGAGAAGGTTCATCGCGAGAAGAGGAAGGATATCTGTCATTTATTCCGACAATGGCACAAACTTTATCGGGTGTAATAATCACTTGAAAGAAGTGAACTGGGATGAAGTTCTCGAATATTCATCAGTCAATAGGATAAAATGGAATTTCAATCCTCCTACGGCGGCTTGGTGGGGAGGATGGTGGGAGCGGGTGGTCAGGATGATTAAAGAACTTCTCAGGAGGAATCTGGGAAAGACAAGTGTTACTTTTGATGAATTAATGACACTCATATGTGAGTGTGAAGCAATTATCAATTCACGTCCCTTGACATATGTTTACGATAACCCAGATGAGTTAGTTCCTATCACGCCCTCTTCATTCATTCAATGCATTTCGAGTACCGAAACACCTGATTTAGACATGATAAGTAGAAAACATATCGTAAAAAGATTCAGATACATTCAGAAAATACGGGATTCACTCAGACAGCGATTCAGATCAGAGTACCTAGCAAATTTAGTTCAAGCTGGTGATAGGAAACGAAGTGGTTTGAAAGTTGGAGATATAGTACTCGTCGGATCAGACAATAAAAGGAAAATAAGTTGGCCTATTGGAAAAATTATTGAAATTTATCCGGGAAGAGACCAAATTGCAAGAGTAGCTAGAATTAAATTATCTACAGGAGAAGTTGTTCGTCCATTTCAAAGAATATATCCATTGGAAATATCTAGTACAGAAGACGACCTCACCTCAGACCTCCAAAGTAAACTCCTTGAGCAGCATCAAGAAGTACACAATATGGATGATGAAGAAGAATTGAAGAAGGCTCAAGGGATGGAAGAAGCTGAGGATGTGCAGAATAAGCCCGGAACAGAAGAAGAAGATGGAAGAAAACAAGTATTTACGAGACGTGGCCGATTGGTCAAACCACCTGAACGGTTGAATATTTAGTTTGCAATTTCTCCAATTGCAAAGGTGGGAGTATGTTGTGGATAGCGACATATCAAGATAGTCTTATAATTTTGATGACCCTGTGTTAATTACATTTTTGATTGATGTCAATATATTGTTTTTTAAAATAATTTCGCTGCTGACATTAAAAGTCATTCAATTGATAAATAAAGTTATTCTTTCTCTTCAAATCCTCTACAACACATTCATAAATATTCAAATTCCAAACATTTTCCCACTCGTGACTCGATTATTTGAGGTTATGTGTATCGCACCGTCGTACAAGCACAGTTCTGAAAACTCGAACTCTGAACGGGCATGGAGCAAGTTTGAAAGCCAGTGAAAATCATTTCTTGACAAAAGTTCGCTCTTGAAATTCTCAGTGGACCACGCAAAACGAACTCAGTGCCGAAAAGGTACGAGCTAGTGCGACGAGTGGAAAACGCTATGAGTTTAAACAATTTGCTACGTCATTCCGACGTGATCCTTCGTCATCTGGTTGCCTGGGTTATTTGACCACAACCACTTCCCAACATTCCCCAAACGCCATGCTCATCCCTTCGACATTTTAGGGGAGGGGGAGAGGCACGCTGAGGCCCGCTGGTAATCAGCAACAGCAGCAGTCGCAGCAACACCACCCGCAGCTCCAGCAGCAGCAGTCGTTCAACCAATCGATGAGCCAGCAGCCCCATACGACTTCCTCGGTGGGTGGCCTCTTCGGCAGCCTAACCGGGCAGTCGCAGCAGCCGCAGCAGCAGCAGCAGCAGCAAGGCTTCCCGAGCAACCAGAACCACTCTTTCCAGAACCAGAGCCGGATACAGCACAAAGGGGTGCCGCAGGTGATACCAAACGTGATGTCATCTGGCGGCCAGATGCCGAACAACCAGCAGCAGATGAACAACGCCGCAGCGCCTAACCTGATGCAGAAGTTCAATGAGATGACTGCGCCTGGGGGGGATATATTGTCCAAAGGCAAAGAACTCATATTTATGAAATTCGGATTGGGAGGGAAATAACCTCTTTCGATTTGTTATTGTTGAATTTTGGGGACTCTGATGTTTTTGAGAACCGTTGCGCGGTTTGCTGCCATCGAGTGATGGACTTGGGTGGACATTCTTTCTGCGGCATTGTATCGCAGATATTTCACCGTTCAAGACAATATTTTTGTGAGTAGGGTCTGTCTGTCCCATATAAAGTATGCGGACAAAACTTGTAAGTAATCATGTGGTCAATGGCCAAGTAGTGTGGATACACACATACATACACACCGTTATCAAAAAAGTGCTATCTTGAAACATTCTATCACAGGGTGAAAATCTGCGACAAGCACCTATGGCTATGATAGACAGAAATACGGTATGTCAGTTTCTTGGCCTACTTGGTGCATGACGTCATTCTGATACATTTGTTGAATTAACAGATAGTGTTCAAATTTGAAAGCTGATGCGGTTCCAAATATTAACGATGTAAAGAATCTGAATGTCTCGTATGTGTTGGATGAAGGGATCAAATCCATATAGTTTATTTTTATAAAGAATTTTTGAGCATACCGTCACCAGAACAGTTGTATACTTAACGTTCACCCTGTTCGAGTAATCGTTAGGAAGATGTCAAATTAAATTGGAGATTATCTATAATTTTCATGCCCCATGCTAGACTATTTATTCTACATATCCATGATCTACAACAAGTCACTGGTTCATCAATAGGCAACCATTTACTCTACTAGGAATCATGGATCCGACCAGAGCTTAACATGCCTGGTCTTCTGTCTTCTAGTAGTTAGGTGGTGGTTGAATATAAGTTCAATAAAAACACATTGATTTTAATTGTGAGTATACTCTTATGTACGAAAAATAAATAGAACAACAAAATCCTCAGCGAGTGAACCAATAAAATGATGTTTGAATTTTCAAAATATATCTTCATCAGCCAAATGAAATTAACAGAATCATCTACACAGAACAAGGAGTTACATATGGCGATCTGGTCGTTTGACTTATTGGCTATCATCAAATTTCTTCATTGATTTATAATCATCCATCCATCCAACATGATCTAAGAGACCAAAATTATGTTGCCTCGAATAAATAAGGATATCGATAGACGGGATAGCATGATATCGATATAGTATTTTTTCAGAATTCTATCAATATGCCCTGTGTTATCTGACGAATCAATAAACAGGTATTATTCGATGTAGCCGCTACTTTATTTGAAATTTCATCCAGCACAAACATATTGTAGCTATGGGCCCAATTATTACATCATTGTGTCTGTCATAGTCTCCAAACCATAGACTCAATCATAATCCACATATTTGGTATTTTATGCTTCATAGTCTGAAAAGGAATATTCTCAGATATATTTATGAACACAGAAGAAAAAGGATATATATATACAATATATGAAGAAATACATTGAGAATTCGGAAATATTAATTCTTTCTTGGTCCGTTCAACAGAAAACAACTACTTTCGTGGCAATATGCCACGACGAATAGTGAATTACATCTATTGAACACACACGATAAGAATTCTAGAACAAAATCTTCTGAATTAGATAATTTGCATTCTCCTTCATATACAGATATGCATACGACATAGTTGCAGAAAATGATGATCAGCTTACAAAAAGACGACAAAGACAAATTGAAATAAGTCATACAGGTCGACAGAATTATGCGAATTTTATAAGCATAGACTTAAATGCCAGAATTCGCCAACTCATCAAGGTCAAGTTCTTATGAATATTGATGACTGAAAGGTTGTATAAATATTAAATGGTCCTATTGAGATGTACACTTTCATATTGTTATCATTATTGAGACAGAAATTTTGGCTATAGGACTGTGATGATGACAATACCGCCTAAATTCACCCAATTATTATCTTTTCGATTCCACGAGAAGTGTTCTTGGTATCACTTTTGTTTTCAATTCTGGTTATTTTTAGTTAGGACACATTTAATTGTTATCTCCATATTTTATGCAAAGTTTATTGTGAAAGTTATCGTCTATTGGACTTGATTATACATATTATAATGTAATTTTCGCCTGCTCACACTGACATGTTATCAATGAAATGTCCCGTATTTCATTTTCATCGAACGTTATCAAAACTATCGCGATGGAGTTATATCAATTATGGGTTATGCAAGAGTCTGATAATGGTTGAATATTTCAGACCGATAATGCATGAGATTTTGTTTGTATTATTCCAAGTTCTGTTAGAACTTTTTGATTCAAATTAAATAATGCCTGCCTGATGTGGATGGTGATGTTGTGATGTGGATGGGTCAAATCGATAAGGGTAAAGTATGTTTCATTTTCTTCATGAGTTTGACGAAGAAGGGTCTTCCAACTGGTCGTTTTATCACGCAGTCACGATATCACTAGAAAAAAAATATAATTTTTTTCAACATTTTCGTTGACATTCATTTCTCAGCATTACATATTTTCTGCATACCTGCGTTGAAAAGTTGATAAATGAACAATCACTGCCGCTCCGACGTGAATATACCTGAATATAAACATGTGTTCTTTAATCAATTTGCTTCGCTAGTATCATGATTTTTGTCACCTATCAAAGCTCCAACTCGTTCATTGCCCATTAGAAAGGCGACAACGTGCGCCTATGGTAGTACCGGATATAGCGAGAAACTTAGAGCTATGATATGCGCATTGGCATACCGTATTTCTGTGTATCGTGCCTATACATGCAAAATATATAGGAAGAATCTATTCCAATAAGAAAAATGTCCTCGATCACTATTGGTTAAAGTTGAATTGTTACCAACGACTGATTGCATAACGTTGAAATTTCCTCTTCTGATTAATTTTCTGTACCTATTCAATATAATATATATCGGTTAAAGTGTTCAAGACAAGTGGCTTCTGTGGTATGAAACGCATTATCATCATATCTTATTCTTACTAAATCAATGTGGCTGCAATTTTCTCAACAGTATTAACTACCTATATTATCTTGTATAAAGTTATAAATATTCACAATTAAATAATAAGTACAAAACTATTATGACCAAAAAAATGGTAACATTTTGTACCGCTTCGATAGATTCAGAATATGATTCTCGATCAGCAATGCTTGTTAAACATGTTTTTTCACAATAGGTAGTTAACCTGTTTCAGGGAACATAACATAATATTTACGGTGTCTCTAAATATTTTGTTCTAAACTAGTTATATATACCCTCATATTACACATGATGTCCCAGAATTTTTCAACAGACAATATCTTGGTTATAATGATGCTAGTGACACTTCACTAGTTACCAATCAAATGGGTTCTAAGGAAAAGTCCACAGAGCCATTATCCATCATATCAATCCTCAAGAATTCAATATCACCCCTTATATTCCAGAAAGGACCAACATCTTCTTTTTTCGCCAAAATATAATCCTCACCACTTTTATTGATGTTTGGCAATGAATCCAATTCGAATATTGTCAATTTTCTATAAATGAAAAACTGTGGAAATATCAGGGAGTTATTTTCGAAGTATTCTTTCAACATTTCGTATTCTTAGCCATTTAAATAATTATCAATTCATGACTAACGAAGTAGTCATGAAGTGAAGTTATAAGAACTGAGGATTGGAAAATGGAATAAAGGAAATAAGGGTGCCATTTAAGCGATGAGGGTTGAGGATGAATTTTAAGGGACATAATGAAAAAATACTTATTTGAAGACGTCAAAACATGCTTCTCTGTTTTTATGGGTGCTTTGATAACTTGGATATGTCTTGTTGATAAATAATTGGGACACCTGGTATGTCGTTGAATTTCAGTGAACTTTTATCAATTTGACCCTAGGTCTCAAAAACATAGGCGAAATTAAAACCCATTTATTTCCCCCTAAACTACTATACAAATTATAGAAACTTGATGTTTTTCATCCTTAGTCTGAACCATCATGAATATTTCCTTCAACTGCAGGTATTTCAAGAATGATTAATGTGCAAATTGTAATCTACAATATTCCGAAACTCGAAATGAAATTGAGTGAACGTATTATAATGTGAACAAGAACAAGGACATCAACAATAAAACAATATATTTATTTCGTACATTCATTATTGCTCTTATGTTGATGTCCAAGCAGAATTTCTCCTTGATTAATTTGAGCTGACGTTATACAAGTTATGAAAAAAACATCTTGTACCTCGAAAAATACAGGTTCATCTCAAAAAGTTCACTGGAAGTTCTTCCCCATTTTCTTGCAAAGAATATACCCTCCAAGTTCCTCACAATATCAATGAAACACCTTGCCCCGTTTACTTTTTTCATACACCTGGACCTTACAACACTTACCTACAGCCTGTGTAGTCAAAACTGTCTTAACTCGTGTGAAAAATGCTAGTTAATTAAACGCTTTCGACTTAGTTATTTTGTATGATCCTTCGTAGCAAATTTTAGTTTTTTATTTCAAATTGAAGTTTTTGTAACAAATCATGTGAATATGTTGTGCCTTCTCCTGATCACGCACATCTAAATGATTTTGGATGCATAGACATAACGTTTTTTTAGTCTTCATCGACCAGACATCGACAAACAATGATCATTCATACCAAAATCATTTAGTACCATATTATTGGCACCTTTGTTTTCCTTTTGTACAAAATGATCCAAGATGTAAGATACGAATAAAAATATAAATAATATCGGTGTTTACCCTACATATATAATCTTATAGACTTGTGTAAATATAAAAAAAACTTTGCTTAAAATAACAACGTTGGTTATTTTTCGTTAGGACACATTGTTATCTCCATATTTTATGCAAAGTTTATTGTGAAAGTTATTGTCTATTGGACTTCCTTGTACATATTATAATGCAATTTTCGCCTGCTTACACTGACATGTTATCAATAAAATGTCTCGTATTTCATTTTCATCGAATGTTACCGAATTCATCGTGATGGAGAGTTCTATCAATTATGGGTTAGGCAAGTATGACAATGATTGTATATCTCAGACCAATATTGCATGGCATTTTTTGTATTATTCCGGGATCTGTTAAAACTTTTCGGTTTAAAATCAATAATGCCGGGTTTGATGGCCTGATGGAAGTAGGTCAAATCGAAAAAACTGTTTCATTTTCCTCGTGAGTTTGACGGAGAAAGGTCTTCCAACTGGTCGTTTCATCACGCAGTCACGATATCCATGAAAAAAACCTATTTTTTTAAACATTTTCGTCAGATCGTTATTGTTAAAGAGGTGAGAATCTCTAACCAAATGAATAATATTCAATCACTCATTGTGAAGGGAAATCGTTGATGTGAGTTTCAGCACAACGGAACATGTATCAACCATGACCATGCCATTTTTGAAGCAATTCCTTGAGTTTGGATCTTTATTATATGTATAGTTCCAGAGATATTTGAAAATTCCCACAGAAGCTTGACAGTAGCTTCATAACATCAGAGTTTCAGATGATTCATAGCGAATAATAGAATATCAGTTGACAACTATGTTTTTTGGGAAGGCCCTGATTGATTGATTGATTGATTAATGGCAGAATGATCAGTCAGGGTTTGAAGCCCAAAACACTGCAGCCTTTGGGCCTATTGTATTCCTGATCATGCTGTTGACTCAGGTGAACAGGTTCGCTACCTTGATGAGGTTTAGCAGCCTCTTCACCAGATCATTCTTTGAAAATGCCTCTTGAGAGTTTACTGCTCCCAGAAGGTTGTATCTCCAACGCGCTAGTGCTTCGCACTCCAGTATTACATGGGTGGCAGTTTCCTCCTCCTCATTGCATAGTCTGCATATGGGTTCGTCTGTATAGATGCCCATTTGATGCATATGTTTCCTCAAGGGGCAGTGACCGGTTATTAGTCCCGTCACTTGTTTGATCTGACTTCTGTTTAGGCTCAGAATGTCGTTAGTCACTGTTTTGGACAGTGTTCCAACCATCAGTTTACTGTGTCTTTGTCCTGGGACATTGTTCCAGTATGCCTGATGTCTTTCTTGCGTCCACCTTGCCAGCCAGCCGCGTATTGAGGTTTTGGGGATACCGAACACAGGTTCCGGCCCCATAAACAACGTCGCAGACCCCTGCCGGGCAAGAGCGTCAGCTGCTTCATTGCCTTCAATTCCCTTATGCCCTGGCACCCATTGAAGAGTTACCTTGTTGTGGTTAGCCAGGGTTAGCAGGCTTTGAAGGCAATCCCAGACCAATTTTGATCTGATTTTATTGCATGTTAGAGATTGAATGGCCGCCTGACTATCTGAGCATATGAGGATTTGTTTACCTCTGTATCCTCTTACTATATTCTCTCTCAGGCATGCCTCAATAGCATGCACCTCTGCCTGGAATACTGAAGCATACCTCCCCAAGGAAGCACACATCCTGGTT